ACAAGCGACGCATTTCTCAACCAAAAACCCAATAAACAAACCAGCCATGAATAAGAGAGCACTCTTGATAGCAGCTGTATTTCATTTTGTACATCCAGTGGAAAAAGACAGTTAAAAACATCACAAGTTGACTCAAAACTCGGTCAGCTTCAGCTGTCAAAGTAAACAACTTTCAAGATGCTGCATAAATTTTCCGCATGAACTCACCTGTCAAATTTTAACCAATCAGAGCATAAAAATTGGACGTGGAACGTGACCAACACGTGACCATGGTATGGTAAGAAAAGGTCTTCCCCGCCTGTATTTTAAAAAAACTGGCTGAATTTTTGCATCTGAGGTCAGTTTCAAATCAAAATCGTAATAGTTCGGGGCGATACTGACATAAACACAACATATTTGATACGAATTTTAAACTACTCGACCTTGATGGGTCGACACCTGAGCCCGCGATACGGTCAGGTGATACTGGTCAGCGGATACCCTGTTTTGACAGCTGTCAATTGATGACAACATTGATGTGCAATCAGCTTCTTCCTGGGCTCCCAAAGTAGCTAGAAAGTGTGAGAGTAAACATTGGTATGCCTGTGGTGCGGATGGACAGTCGGTCGCTCGGTCGGTCACGCGATTACCAAATTTTCTGGGATGGGTAGATTACCTTAGCTATGGGGCTCCGCCCACGCGCGCGCGAAGCGTGCGCGTGGAGCTCCGCTATAATTTAATTTTTGTAACGTAAATACACAATTCAGTTTTCGAACTGCGATGTAGTTATGAATAAATAAACTTCATAAGAATTATTAAATAATAATAAGTGACACTTTAAAAGCGCTAAATCCTTACAGTTCATTAACGCTCAACAGTAAAATAAGAAACTGTTAAGAAATGAATGATTAAAACGGCTTGGAGAGTAAAATTTCCTAGGGTTTTGATGACCTTCATCTGATAGGGCATGAATTTTGTCATTTCAGGCTCTGCGGGTGTAAAACACGAGTGACTAACGAACCATCTGATATCGACAAGAGGACGAAAACAGTATATGACGGCATGGACGCCTGCTGTCTTTGGAAAATTTACATCTACAGCCCTTGAAAAATTTAAAGTGATGGGATATTGTTTAAATCATTCTGGTACAAGGTTTTGGTCCACTGAAAATTATAATAACACCTTTCTGATGAATTCCATCTTAACATTTCTTCAGATCACAAACTTCACAAGGCTTCTGATTGGAAACAACGATGAGGACGTGGAGCCACCACAAAATCCACCACAGGACTGGAGGGTTATGTGCAGCAGCATACGTCCCGCAGGAAAGGTAACACTCTTCAAATGCCAATAAACTGTGCTGGCTTGACATAAGGGTCCTGGCTGTTGTCATATGTTCTCTCTACACGGAAAAATAACAATATGGTCTATTATTATATGGCTAAGTCTGTTCTACCATGCGATTAGTCAATTTGCGGTCCATAACTTACTGTACGGACCAAAATCAAACGCAGTTGCTCAATTTGCTCACTAGATCTTTCTCTGCGAAAAAAGATCAGGAGAAAACTGTGACAGAATGTCTGTTAACCCTACTGAGTCTAATGACCTGGAAGTAGACATCGTCCTGCCAAATTGTGACCTAAATGTATTTAAGAAAGAAGCGGAAGAAGACGTTAATCATAGCGGAGAAGAAGATTCTAGCCAAGAAATTGACAACTTCATCCACGGCCAAAACTCGAAAAACAGTCAAAACAAACAAACCAGACTGGCACATTACTGAGCAAAAACTACTCTTTAACATCCTCAAAGATGATGCTTTCTCCCGTTCAAGGAGCGTCTTGGCCACCAAGAGAAAGAGTTTAGTTAAAGAAGGACGTGGGAACAAACCGAACGCTATAACACAGCAAATTCGAGGTTGTAAATTAACACCAAGGGTGATATACATTAACACTGAATTAGTGTTATCATAACACTTGCCGAGTGTTTCTTAAAAGATACACCAATTCAGTGTATGAAAACACTAAAATGGTGTAATCAAGAAATGTGCCACACTTTGGCGGTGTAAAGTTAACACAGCTGATGTGTAATTTTACACCAAATCGTGTATCAAAACACTGACAAGGAGTTAATCTGAAATTATCAATTGCAGATTCCTGGTCAAAAATGTTGAAACTTATATTGGTCGTTTTGGTATGATCACTGGAAAAATACCTTGAGAATCGAAGGAGAAGACCTAAAAGCCCTAAACACCCTGCTCACGTGAATTCGGCTAACTCAATGTTGAACCCGATTCAAACCCTTTGGGAATAAAACGCTTTGTTTGAGGAATTTTCATATCGTTTAAATGTGAATGCCACATTATAACGTAAATACAACACACAAAGAATTTTAACCCACTGAGATTTGAATTGGGTACAACATTGTACAACATTGAGTTAGCCGAATAGGTCTATTGCTTTTCAAAAAATATGAGATGTGTGGCAGTGCCCCACCATGAATGTAGTTATACTACTTGGTGCTACAGGTTAAAAGCCCTTAATGTGATCACAAAAACTTTCGTAATATATGAATCTTTTATTACGGATGATGTAATTTCCTCTTCTTGAAAAATTGACGGATCTAATAAGGACAATTAACCTCACATACTTTATTAAGGGCAGATAGCCCTAAAAAAACACTCATACACACACACACATAGGCATCTACTACCGGGACCCCACCCCACCCCCCCCGCCCCGATACAGTGTGTGTCATCTTGAGGGGGGCTAGAACCTTAAATAAAGCCATTACCCATTGTTAAAAGAATGAACTCTCACTTCATTTGTATCAAAACATCATAAATTTTAATACATAGCATTTTAGTTAAGCACTGTCTAGACATTTTTTAAATAACTGCGGTTGATTCATTTATACAGCATCTGCCAGGTCATATCTCATCCTCACAACAAGTGTCTCAATACCTCCAACCTTAACTCTGTGGAGTAATAAAGGGTGGTGATCGATAAGGGCTTCATAGCTACTTATCAGCTCTTCGTTACGTACTAAAATCTCATACGAACAAAGATGTTCAATGTGCCTGACTGTGCCTAACTTGTTTCCAACAAAAACTATACTTCCATTTGGTAAAATTAGAATTTCAGCAATTTGAAGAAACTGAGGCAGGAGGCCATCATGCCCAATCACAAGAATTTGCCTTGCCTGGTACTTTGTCCCAAAGCACTGAACCCAATTTGGCCTGCAAAATGTAAAGAAAAGTATTTTAGTTTACAGATATTACCTGGTTGAATGTAAATGCAATATTATGAATTAAGGAGGCAATTAAATAATAGTCAACATTATTAAGTTTCCCATTATAAATTATAAATTAATGAAACAGTCAGGAATGTATAAAATAATAATATGAATGAGACACTTTCTTATTTTTCATTTATTCATCAGAATAATAATACCTTTACCCATTCATGTACCTGTAGAGTATAGTATCTGGTAAGATATAAGGAAAGTGGCCATATAGAGCATTCTGACCCACTCTTGTCATTTCATTAACAGCAATGCTTCTCCCTTAAAATGATGCAATATAAAATGGGGAACATAAACTCAGTAAATACGTTAATGCAAGCCTCCATTCCATTGACCCTTTTTTGTATGACAAATCCAGCTGAGTGGGGACCTACATTTAGCTTGTACATGGCATTGAGTGGGTGAAAAGAACTGCAAAATGTAGAAAAGAGAAAAAAAAGGTACCCTACCCCACCGTTTTTACAGGTTATTCCGGATGAGAAGGCTTGTACACCCTTTACCACTCCACAACCCTCCACACATACACTCATACACATACAAACACCATTAAAGCTACCAACACCATCACTTTTTTGAAGAAGTGTTCATATTCAAATTCGTTTTCAGACATAAAACATTTAAAAGGATATTTACTTTTCGTTCTTCTAAAGTTTAAGTACTATAACCAGCAATAAATTATACAAAAATTTGCCAATCAGGTTTAACAGAAAAAAAAAACATTCAAAATATGCAGTGAGTGAATTCATGTCTCAGGTGCTAGGTGAAGAAACCTGGTCCATTTTCCTGAGCTGAACGTAGATATCCTCCTTCAACAGAAAGCCAATAAGACTGTAGCCTTTGATGGTGGATGGCCAGTGTTTTACACAAATTCTGGAAACCCTTTGAGCTCCTTGCCAGCTTCTTGAAATAGTGGTTTTTAGCCTCAAATCGCATACACCACAGTCTGATAAGAGGACCAACTCTGTAATAAAAGTTGTAAATTGAACATTTTATATTATATGAGAGAATAGTTATTACCAATCCAACCAATACAAAACGTTGAAGTTGACGATATCTATACTACATGTAAAAGCCCAATCCAGGTATTTTGTAAAAGACTTTTTTTAATATTGAGTTGTAAGTTGTGCTTAAGGGAATTCACCTTTTTTTCACAAATTATGCTAATATGCACACAAACAACAGGGATTCACTAACAGGGACACATGGAATCCTGGCGGGGGAATTTAACAGCTAAGAAGTTCATTCATTTCTGTTTCTTTTCCTTTCCTACAAAAGAAGCTAGGGATTATGTTCAAGGCAGCTTGCGGACAAGATTAAATTGTTTATCACAACGCCTATATTGAGTGAACAATTTTAATATAGTAAAGGAAAAAAGAAAATTGCAATAATGTAAATCATTATGTGGTACTCACTGAACAAGCTGTCTAGGATAGTGGACCAAAAAGTGCTGCTTAGGTGATATATTTTTGCTTGGATATAGCAACAGCATTTCTTGCAAATAATCTTTGATAAGAATTCTTAAATAGGCTGCAGCGGTGGCACTTGCTACAGGGGCACAGCATAGATCCACAATTCGAAGCAAATCGCAAAAAAGGATTAAATGGTCATTATCTGGAGGAATCCATTCAGTTATCATCAGAGGAAAGTAGCGTGCTAAGCACCACATTTGAGCAGCTATATAAAACCAAGCAAAATAAAAGACTCTTCAGCATTTAAGGAAATGTTAAGGGTCAAGGGATTGGCCAAATATGTTTGCTATATATATGACATTTCATTATGTTACAGAGGTTTGTTATACTGAGGTTAACCACTGTCAATGTAAATCAAAACTGATAATAAAATAATATCAAAAATTACCAACTTTTCCAACAACAGATTTAATAAACCAATCGAAGAATGCCTATAGCTATTGAAGAGCTAGACTTGACAGTGAAAGACTACCAGGTACTGGAAGCCTCAATGCATTATTTACTAATTAATTCCTGTTGTCTTCAATGTTTATCAAATAATCACATTATTTAACCATACAGTAGACTGGTGTTCACTGACCTGATTGTTTGAGGTTGTCATCATTTGAACTTAAAGTTAAGTTTGTTATAGTTGAAGGTCTGTTGGATGTTTCTACAATGCCATAATCAAATGTCTTAATCTTCTCATTCAGCATTTCAAGAGTGAAAAAATTACTCTCCATAATGAAGAACCGAAGAAGTAACTTCAAGTGCCGTGGTATTACACCCTCCAACAGGTCATGCATGATGTCAGAAGGAAGTCCATCCACAACGTGAAAATATTTACTTTTATTTAATGGTGACTTTCTTTTTACTCCATAAACTGATGTACAGGAAGGATCTACCTCAATTTGGTCCAGATGATGGTCATGTCCAATTCGGCTTCTTAGTACAAATTCCTCCTCAGTAAACTACAAAATAAGTAAGACACCACTGCAGATTCTACAACTGATTTGAGATAAAGATCCATGCGTTTAATTAAAGACATGAACTATTACAAGTTTTAATTTGTACCTTTTGTTGTATATCCTCTGGAGTTCCCATGCAAAACCTGCATTTTCTATACGCACTGAAACTTTCCATAAAACCTCCCCAAGAATGACTACCAAGATTGTCTGCCAGGCACAGTCCTATTGTACCACTGAAGTGTATAGCCACACCATTGACTTCAAAAGGAATTCCAGCATCCTGAAAATAAAGCGACATTCAAAGACCTAACCCAAAAATGGCAACTTCATTATTAAACCTGTATTTAATTAAAAGGGTAAGGGTAACTATATGTATGACAAGGCAATTTAGGTAACTTCTCCTTTATGACAGTTAGTAAGTTTGATTCTAATGCTACTGAAATAACTATACAGTTTCACCAAGATATTCCTTTAAACAAGGTTATGTAGTTTTAATGTAATTTTAATAGTCTTTTAACAACTTTTATTTGAATTAAATAGATGGTAAAAGAATGGGTGCAGTTTTAAGGTTGATTTCCACTGACGCGTTTTTGGCTACGCACCTGCAATGCATGTAAATTTTAATCACGTAAATAAAACAGAGGCAAGATAAAAAGTGCTGAGCAAAGACAAGAAGTTGAGCAAGGTTCAACTTTTATGGTTACGGGCGACCTTTCATGTATTGCCCCTATTTAATTTGCGAACGTAAATTTTATGCTTGTATACACGCGTAAGAATTACGCGACACAGGAAATCAACCCTTACGTTGAAAAATAAGATCCTCATGCAAGGCAGATCAAACCCCTGTCACTTCTCTCTTAATTTAAATTACTGATCTCTGAACCTCATTCCTGAACTTCTTTGAAAATATAAATATTTTTGGAACTTGAGTTTGACCATAGATAGAAAGTTCAGATAATTATCAGAAGTAAGACTGATGTGGCTGTATCGCTCAGATGATCAATGCACATTAAAAATACTTACAGACTCAAGCATGTTGATCTCTACCATGAATCGATGCAAAACTTTATCAAATCCATATCGATTAAGGTATCGTGAGGGACAAATAGCCACTAACTGCATTGATCTCAAAACTGAGCGGTACTTAGGGTGGAGATTGCCAAGCATCCAATAAAATGCAGCTATTATTCAAATGAATGAAAAAATATATTCCATAATTAGCACCCTTCTTTAAATACTAAAGATATGCAACTTCAGCTCATGGAGACATTGACAAATTAATCTTGATCATTATCATATTTCCTTCAGTGACCAGTGGAACATAGGGCAGGAGTCAAATCTGAACTGATTTCAAAGTTGCAGTATAAGCTTCATTTTTACCAGTAAAACAAAAACAAAATAGAAAGAGAGGCAATGCCTACATCATCTAGACACATGCATATATGAAACTGTATTTGTCCTGGAATTAATATAAAGGGGGCTCTAACAAAAACAGATTAGGACTCACTAATACACACTTCCAGTTTTTTTATCCCTTATAAAACATACAAAAGAGTAATAAAAATAAGGTTTAGTAGTGTACAAACCCATTTTGTGTTTAGATGCTTTAGAGCCAAGAGGATCACACACTTCAAATTCATCAAAATATGTCATTATCTGAAGGGTTTTGGAGTTAGCAGAAAATAAGGGGTGGTTGTTGAATAAGCTTCCATCACAGAAATCTCTTATTTTCCCTTCTGGCATGCTGTGACCATGTTCAATCTGAAAAAAAAATTAACTGCATAAATATACACAACAAACTTGATGCCTCAAAAAGTAAGATGACTGAGCCCTACTTCTCATGATCAAAAAGAAAGTCATAGGTTGCCCTAGTTCATTAACAAAACTGAATCTCAAAAATATTATAAACAAATGTGTTCAAAACTTTACCTCAGTGAATACATCATATTGATTCAGCAACACTTGAAGCATACTGATGACAGAAATATATTGAAAAGTGTGCCTCTTGACTTTAAATCGTCTCCGTCCATTAAATGAGTAGAACTGAACCTCTTCCCCAAGAACAACTTCTTCTGGCTCCTAAAGAAAATTTAAAGCCCAGCTGATTAACATTTTAGTATCAAATGGAGTATTTGCTGGTGTGTAGGTTAACAAAATGCCCTGCAATTTGAACCTTAGCCCTTAGCTAATCCAAGTTAAACCCAAAACTGCATGAACAACAGACAAGTATTAGTATTTTCAAGGTTAAAAGATGACACAACTCTAACACAAAAATGGAATTTAATAAAAAATTACCACCTCTTCTGTGTCATGCCCAAATATGTATCAGTTTTACTCTTGTCTATTATATGCAAATTTACTTTTTATGGAGGTATGTATGTGCGACGAAAAGTGTAAGGGGTATTGAGTTAATAAACAGCAGAGTCAGTGTTGTGATTGGAAACAACTCAAAAGGAATCTGAAAACTATGTTCTGCATCCCAGGGGTGGTACTTGGATTTCAAGTGACGGAGATGATTGAATGCAGGCAGAAATCAAAACCCCAGAAAATTCCTGGACAAAAATTTAAGCGCCCAAAAAATCTCATGCTGAATTTCTGTGGCATAAAAATTTCCAGAAAGCATTAAATGATATTCGACGAAAACCAGAAACATAAGTTTTGAATACCCCAGAAACTCTCTACTCAACTCAAGCTTCCCCCAAAAATTACTTGTCAAAATTTTCCTTCCCAAAAAAAATCCTGAAATCAAAAATTTCAAACCCCCCCCAAAATCCTTTAATCATCCCTGTCACTTGAAATCCGGAGTACCCCCCGCCACCCCTCTCCCCCGCCCCCACTGGGGTCTACACTGGTGGGCTATGAGTTGAAACCTTCACACAAACACATGCACAAATTAAAGATTAAAAGGTTTGTAGTTCATTCCTTTCCTAAACAGTTCATGTCATTTTCTAGACAGTTCGTTTCATAAAAACAGACTCATACTTGATGTATTAAACAGACAAACATCAAAAGTCTTACCACCATCTTCATAGTATTTAATGCATATTCTGTTCTCTGTCTCACGGTTTGAAGTCTCTCAAATGCACTATCAAAGGGTGTAGGTTTATCAAGAGCTTCCTCCAACCCTTCGACTTCATCAATAGCCATTCCCTCTACCTTTAGGCATGTACAGTACCGCAAATGATCCCCAACCGCAAATGATCCCGAGACCGCAAATGATCCCCAAAATGGACCGCAAATGATCCTCGACCGCAAGTGATCCTCAAAGTCGACCGCAAATGATCCCGAAAGAAAAATAGGAATGGCTTAGACTCGAGTAAGCGGATCATCGTGTCGATTTTATTATTATTACAAAAAGTTAGATTAAACGCTAAATTTTAGTTCTAAAATAAATACATGAATAAAAACTAACTGAAAAGAAATCATTCAAGTGTAAAAACGAAGTCGGTAGGCAACACACGACTTTTGCCTCATGCCAAAATGCTGCTTGTTCCAATGAATTTTTCTCTGACGGGTAGATTATACCTCTGAAGGAAAACGTTTTGACTGAGTAAATGAGATTTTTGCTGCTTATTTCATACTGAGAGGTCATGACACGCATTTTCTGCGGTTATTTTTGTTTCTGGTCGGCATGATTTGTCCTTTAATGCAAGAGCATTTCCTTTGACCTCTTTTGGAAATGCGATGCTCTTCATTGCGGCTAAATAAGGGTTTTAGGTTGTTTAATTTCTTTAAAATGCCTCATGGATCCGAATAATTATAAGCGACTTTCTGTGAATGTGACGGTTGAGGGGCACCCAACGAGGATACAGTTCAAAACCACTTAACATAGCATTGTTGAACGTATTTTAGTATTCAAACGGTAGATATAGGCATATTTTTATACCCTAAAAACTTTTCATCTGTTCGGATTTCCTAGCTGAAAGTTTAGTGATCCGAAAATTATAGGGATAAAAACTTACCTTCTCGAAAATTTCAGCCAGGAAAAGGCTCCCGAAAATTCTAGGTGGTCTTTTTTAGGGTCAAAATCCGTTAAAAATGGGTAATTACCGTAAAATTCCGAAAATAAGCCCCAGGGCTTATATTTTTCAAAGGCCCTTTTTGAGGGGCTTATATTCGGAGGGGCTTATTCACGGAGGGAAATTTCCGTTTCAAAATCGATTGGGCTAGACTTATAGTTTCAAGTAAATTTGCCGTTTTTGCTTTGTTTTACTTTGTATTTGAGGGCAATTTTCCAAGTACAAGCCCCCGGGGGCTTATATTTGGAGGGGCGATTTAACGGAGGGTTATTTGCGTTACGAGTTTGGGGGGCTTTTATTTGGAGGGGCTTATTTTCGGAATTTTACGGTATACAATTTTGTACTGCATTTTGTAGATGTTCGAAAATCCTAGGAGAGGCAGGCAAGCAAGAAATTTTACAACAAATGCTCCGAAAATTCTAGATCTCAAATCGTCTTCCGAACATATATTTTCCCGAAAATTGCCGTTGGGTGCCCCTGACGGTTCCCACGATGTTTTGTCACGCGATAACTACCGCTCAATGCATCGGGTTTGCGTTTCTCGTTACCAGGTTTAGATTCCTGGTAACTGTCTGCAGCAAAGGCACAAGAAATGGATATACATATAAGCGTCAATATAACTATTCGCAACATGTTCATGAGCTGTAAGCAAGTTGTTCTTTCGAAATAAACCGAAACCTGTGGACATTGATAAATTCGGGGGCATTTTGACGTGTGTTTATTTCAAATCATGTCTTGTTTCGTAACGGGCACTCCCAGGTCTGGGGCACTCCTAAGTTACGAACCAATGTCTTGCTGTTTATCACGTAAAATTAACACTTCAGAGAAAAATCAAAACTAAATATTCTGAAAATTAATTCGACACTTCTACAAAGATCAGTAAAGTCATTAAAGCTCTTGTTATGTAGAGGGTGCCCGGCTTTGTATTCGTCAGTAGACAAGTTGAGCTTGGGCGTTAAAACTGAATAGAGTTTTTTTCTGCGTAATGTCCTGCCTGTCTTAAATTTTCAGCGACGAAACAGTTCTTGAAAGAAAATTGAAGCAATTGACAAAGGAAGAATTATATACGGTTGATACCATATCCTTTTCAGATTTAATCTACTTTTTTTCGCCTTCTATAAATTGACCTGAGATGTAGCGTCCTCCTTCCCTTATTCTTTAGAAGGCGCGAGAAAAGGTCCCTTTTTTATAATCAGTCCTTTTTTGTAATCAGTCCCATAAAATCCATTCCATTCCTCAAGTTTCACGGGATCATTTGCGGTCGCCTTTGGGGATCACTTGCGGTCGAGGATCATTTGCGGTCTCGGGATCATTTGCGGTTGGGGATCATTTGCGGTACTGTACAGGCACCTCTGAACACGTTCTTTAAAATGGTTAACGTTTTGATCAACAACATCCTTTACGTAATTAAGGATGTCCGAAGTAGCAGAGTCTGTCAACATATGAATCTCTTGCATTTTTACGACAGAAAGAAACAAGCTCCTTGTTGATTTTTCTTCAAGCCGTGAATCGTCTTCATGTGAGATATCTTCTTGGTGTTCACCGGCAACAAGTGATGTACTTTCATCTTGACCACAATCATCAGACGTTAAGCGTATGTGCCCTTGGTGCTTTCGATACAAATGGGAAGTGAACGATGTAAACACTGTGAAAGTCTGAAAGCATCCCTCAACTGTGCATGCTATCTTGAAGTTAGGTTCAAAGCTATGAGAGTTACGAATATGATTTAAGTAGCGTTCAAAGGTTGGAAAGGACAGATGACTGCACTCAACTTTATAACAAGAAAATCGATCCATGACCGCTTCTGTCTGGGTTCTCTACAGTTTCGTGTCTCGGAGCGCGCGCTTGCGCCAAATTTTGGCGGGAACTAATTGAAAGCACGTGCTTTCAGTGTTTATACGCCGGAAAAGTGAAAACAAAGATACTGTAGTTGAGCAAATTTAAAATGTTCTAAAAAGACGGCATTTGTGTTATAAACAAGTTAACCTTCCAAACATCAAGGAAACATCGCATTTGCTTAAACCAGTCATTTGTATATTGCGTGAGGCTCTCGAAAGCGATCTTGTTAGTTATATTTTGAAACGCGTCTATCAACGTCGGCAAGCGAAACAACATTGGAATGTTCTGTGTGTGCGGATACGACCAATCACAGCTCAGTCCTAAAACGTTCTCACGGTTTCATAATCCCTTTGATTGCACTGTGAACATTCCTTTCAAGACGGTACCTTATCAAGTAATGTTTTATCCAATCAGAGAAAAGAGAAAGGTTTCGTGAATTGTTTCAACGTTGTGTGCCGTTCAAATATTCACGCACACCGAAGCAGTAGCTGTCCACTTCACCATCTGTAGATTCTGCACGAAAGAGTTAAATCATTTAGTCTGTCTGTCATGGCTTCACTTATTTTTTCTTGAGAAGATGTTCAAGAATGGATGAAGAAGGAGGGATTTCAGGCATTTGCCGATCATTTTTATGGTAAGAAAATAGCCTCAAAGGTTCCCAACTGAAAATGCTCTTTTGGCGCGAAATAACGGAACACGTTGATGTTTTTACTTCAAATTACATTAAGGCCTGAAAGTTTAGCTTTAAAAACTTTAATTTTCCTTTCTTAACTCTATACTTTTTTCTTTAATTCCAAAGCTGAACAGGTTGATGGTGAAGCACTGTTGTGCATGAACGAGGAGACGTTGAAGACCCTCGTGCCCCCTGCTGGCGTTCGCGCTAAGCTTCTACATAAAATAAAAAAACTTAACGATGAAAGCACGGAAGTTCGGATAACCGAAGCGCGACCTATACATGAAGATGCGAAAGCTGAAACAGTTGGCGAAGCATCTAGCGCCCCATCAGTGGAAAAAAAGAGGTGAGAATCTATTTACACTTCCAAAGGGCCACTCACAAACATCATCTCATTTTAGAAACGGCTATAGGAGTAGAAGGGGAGAGATTTGCCAATGTTGTCCACGTGGAAGTAACTTGTAAGCTGTTTTTTTGGTTATGAAATCCGGTCAATTATGGAAAACCCAACCTATAACAAAAGAGACAATATTATATATAGGGAATTTACTAGCAATCAGAAGCTTGCAACATAGAAAAATTAGTACTGACGTGTTTCTTAGGAAGGGTGGGTGGGGAATTAGGTTCAGTGGAAGAAAGAAGACTCAGTTACAATGCATTAGTCAACCTATACGGAGTGGGTAGGAGAGAATCCTGGGAACGAGGTTGTGCATTAGTAAGTAAATTCTAAATACATATACAATTTGCCAATGTGTGCTGTCCATATACAACATAAAGGACCGTATAAACATTTTTATGCAATCATTCACAACAGATACCTGTACAATAAAATATTAATTTCTGCCATCCGATCTATTTTACCTAAACGATACTTCAATACTGTCTTTTTCGATAAAACTGCCCGAGACCTAAAACTGTAAAGTTCTGTTCATTCGATATAATAATTGAAGCTGCAAAACTCATTATTAAAATATGTCTGTAAGGTTCTCAGTTATATATATTCCCAAATAAGTTACCTTATCTTTCAATTCATCATGTTGTGGGTTTCGATAGCTATGTAAAGTTGGATTTTCCGCTTTTAACTAGCTCCAAAGTTGAGAGGTCAGCCCGCTCATTACTTGGAACATGATGAATTGACAGCTGGTAACAATTATTATAGTTAAAATTATCAGAAAAACTCTAGAAGGATAAAACAACAAAAAAGAAAGAAAGGAAGGAAGAAAGAAAAAAGAAATACACTCACATTAATGCTTGGACCCCCTTTGAACAAATTTTTATTATTTCATTTTTTTTAGTTGGAAAAGATCTGATGAGGCAAAAAGGCGTCAGAGACTAGCTCGAAATAAACGAAAAAGGTTGGAAATACGACAAATGAAGAAAAACGCCCATGAAGAGCTAGTTCAAGAAAAAAAGAAAAGACAGAAAACCGAAGAAAAACTGTCTTCTGCCAAAAAAAATCAAGAGAAGTTTTACCAAATGTGGCGTCAAACAGAGCGTGAAAAAGAAAGATTACTTCATTTGCAGATGAAAAATAAAACAAAGTCAATCAGTTCTTCAGACAGTGACAAAGTCATTCCTAGAGATTCCAAGGGAACTGATACATGTAAATATGGACAGTGATTCCAAAAACTTAATAACCCTTGGTGAAGGAAAGTTTGGAAAAGTTACACTTGCCTATTATCGTTAAATGCCTGTTGCAGTGAAACAATTCAATGAAGGAGTCTCGCAAGCCGAAGTTGAGCATGAGGCAAACATTATTTCCTCATTCAATCATTTAAATCTTCCAGTTCTATTTGGAATTTCCTGTCAGGCCAAACCTTTCATGCTTGTACTACAATACTATGGAGTAGGTGGCAAGCCACTTTCATTAAAAGACTGTTTTCAGTCTTCCTCAGAACTACTGACAACTTCAAATTAGCTAAATACTGTTATTCACCTGTGTGATGCACTTAAACATGTTCACGAAAAGGGGATATTGCATAATGACATTAAAGCTGACAATATAGTTATGGTAAAAGAAGAAAACATTCAAATGCCCTACTCACCTATTTTGGTTGACTTTGGCAAATCCAAGCACATGTCAGATGTCCAAAAAAAAAAACCTAAGTGACACTGAGAAGGAGATCTATCGAAAACGACATTTTCACATTGCACCTGAAGTGATTGATGGATCACACACACCTTCAGTGAAAAGTGATGTGTATTCAATTGGTCTAGTTTTCTGTAAGATTTACTAACTGGTAAAGGTTAAAAACCTGAAAGACTTTTGCAAAAGGTGTATAGAACCATACAATGATAGATGTACATCAAATGAGCTGAGAGAAATGGCTGAGAGATTATCATTGTAACTAGCAGTAACATGGCTGCTGGTTGGATAATGGGATTGTTTCCCATTATCCAGTATTTCCCTGTCACTACATTTTGCATGTAATTTTGATTGTGGATTTGACACGTAAATAGTTTTAAAAAATAGACTTAATATAATCATCATTTTGTAATAGTTTGATTTTGTAATTGCCCGCACCACAACAAACGTTATTAATTACTGGTAATAGTCAGTCCAAGGGTTAATTTTCAAGTACAGTCGACCCTCCATATGCGACCATCTCTTGTAAGCAACCACCTCCCATAAGCGACCACCAATCCAAAACACCAAAATTTTCCCAGTCAAAGCCTTATAGCTGGAACCTCCAGTAAATGAACATCACATGTATGTGACCGCAGCCACTTTTTGGGCCTAACGGTTAATGATTTTCCATTGCTTTTAACCTCTTGTAAGTAACCACTTGACACATTCTCTGACCTCTATGTTCGCTACATGTGCACTATGCTTCTTGGGATATACGAAGTACTTTAGCAACAAAATGGAACTTACACATGTCGCAACTTAGACATTCCATGCAATTTATTATCTTCCATAAACTATATGTGCCTGGCACTCTTCTCGGAATAGGCCCCCTGTGGTTTGATTCTTGTAAATGACCACCTCCCATACGCAACCACTCAGTCTTGGCAGTTTGGATTGTCGCTTATGGGGGGTTCGACTGTACTAAACAATTAAGTAGTATTAGTAGTAACATATTGGATATGTTTTAATCTTATGCACTCAAGGGGAACAGAATTGATGTATCTGTCAGTGTTCCAGTTCAATACTGACTAATTTAAATGTATGAAGAAAGGCATCCTCAATAAAATTTATCCATGATCACTTCTTTAGTCCAGAGTATAAACCTATGAACAGGTTGAAGTCCAAGACCTGGCCAGCTACTTTTGTCCTGCCAAAGTCCTTCCCACCAGTTGTAATGGAGGCATTGGGGAAACGATCTTACATGGAGAAAAAGGCACGAAGCAAGTTTATACAAGCCATATATGACGCAATTTGTCAATGCACAATGTGAGTAAACAGTAAATATTGATTCATGTAGATTTCAACGCCTGCAATTTACCAGAAGGTTAAAATAATTGCATATGCAGGTGGCTTGGGACAAGCTTCTCTAAAGTCAATGGAAGTCCATTTCAAGGAAACATTTCATATCCTTTATGGGCAAGAAATTGCTGAGCCATTGTAAACTGCAGATCTGAATCATTTTGAGTTTGTAAATGTTGTAGTTAAACAAACAAAAAACATTAATTACCTGAGTTAAAAAATTAACTATAACATATACACAACTGGGTTAGCTACATTGTAACTCATGCAGTACACCCACACTTGCATGTGAGCTACATTTGTGTCTAATATGTATTATAAGTGGACACAATATGCTCTAGCCTGTCTTAGGCTTGGTTATTTACAAATTTAAAACAAAAAATACAGAAAGAACAGACTTAGTAATGCTGTAGGGTGCCTGCACAAAAGTATTTTACCTAATTTTATTCCTGCATTTTTGGGGAAAAAAGGTTCTGGTATTATGCAGAGAGAGAAAAACACTGCTGAAAATGAATGTATGCATTAAAACTATTATGTCAGAAATCACTTATATCATTCTATTTAACTTTGAACGTGACAGGTCTCCTACAGCAGATCAAAGAAGACAAGTTTGCAGAAAAATCATAACAGATTATCCTTTTCAAGCTGATGTAGATGGTGGTTGTGTAAGTAGATATATTATTAATATGACAATTAATTGAATTTGAATGAAAGAGCCAAAGACTTAACACAACAAAAACTGCAAATTTGGTATCTGGATTAAAGAAAATAAAGTTTACCCAGAGCTTTACTCTGATCAATAACAGGCTATGTGTATGTTCTGTTTAACTACGCAACGGGGCCTGCCATAAGTGACCACCCACGGTGCAAAGATTAGAGGTTTGGTATTGAAGTGTCACTAAACTGGAACATTCAGTGCACATGGTGATCAAACCATGCGCCAAATGGTTGTTAACATGATGTTAAGAACAATGAAAATTCAAACATCTTTATTGAAAAAAGTGGTCTCGTGAGAGGATTAAACTGTAGTGACTTGACTGGAAAAAGTTTGGTGTTTTGGATAGGTGGCAGCTTCTATATGACAGGTGGTTGTGTTGTGGTTCAGTTTTATCCTTGGTTTAATTTTTATTTCCCTTTGTTTCAAACTCATTATCATACATTACCATGCCCAAAAACAAAGGAAAATAAAAATTAAAAAAGGATAAAATTGAACCACAACAGTTGCACATAAAGGTTCAATTGTATTTACTATACTGTTTATGAACTTACGGTGCAGTATCCAACATGACAATCAATACTATTATTACAAATGAATAATATTGTTGCACATAAATTTTAAGAGTAACAATATTATTTATATAAAATAAAATTATAGATGAACTGTACTTGACACTCTTGTGATTTTAACACTTAACAGGAAAGCTGGTATAGAATCCTCACTGATAAATGCAAGAATGAATGTCGTGGTTATGTGCCAGATCCAGTGGTGATGGCACGAAAAAGGAAAAACCCAGATGGTAGCATAAAACAGCCAAATCCCGCAAAGGGACTACGAAGGGGGATTGTAAAATGGGCTCCCCCACATATTGAAGGAGAGGACGAAGCATCCCATGCCAGGCATGTCAAGTGGATGCACTCAGAATGGAAAAAAAAAGAAAAAAGACACAGCCTTGTAACAAGAAAAATGGACCTCACATATTCCTTCCGAAGGGAGTACTTAACAAAGGAGATGGTACCTCTACTGGACATCAAAGAAAAATATCCATTTCTATTTGATGAAAAAGAGGTAAGCTTAGACTACAGTTTAGTCACACGTTCGTCACGCTACATTTTTTAAAAGCTAAAATGTGTGTTAATTCTTATCAATTGAATTCTAAAAACACTGGTCCAGTTTTGCTTTGTAAGACTAGGCATTGAAACTGTTTCTAGTTCTCTGTTGCTACAGATCACAAGGATGGACATGGATTGAAACCCAGGGGGTACTTGACCAATCGGGAAGAGGTGCAGGGTCGCTAAGAGTTTGAAACCCTGTCCCTGTTTAGAACAAAAAAATCCCTAGAAAAATACAAAACCCTTAATTTTATTACCCTGTTTAGGAAAAAGGACACATACACTGTTTAGGACACGCAGAATCGCGCAAAACTATTAAGTGATGTACAGAGTACCTGTTTAGGAGAGAGTGGCGAAAACCATATCCTGTCTAGAGGTGCATTTCCGTATACATGTAGGTTATTACCCACCCTAGGATTTTACTGTTTTCGTCAGGTTGGAAAGAACTAAAAATAAAAAATATGTAATGGTGATATAAATATGTTAAATTCTTATGGATAATTGTTTTGATTACAAAATTTCAGGTACGACATGAATACTGCAGGCTAATGGCTGATGAAGATGCAGCGACTGGCATTGAAGAAAAATTCTTAAAACTGGGTTCCAAAATTATTGAATACAGCAAAAGAAAAAATCTAACAGGATCGGAGCCACTTCTCGATCTACTTAAGTGTGACTCTGATGATGAAGAGGATACTCCGCCCACGTCAGGTAAATAACTTTTTAAAGCACACTACTGTAGATTAATTTGCCACAACATCCTTTCTTTTTGTTAGTGTTTACAAATATAGGATATTACCTGGCCGCGCGGAGATATACAACATTTCTCTTTGAGTGTTTCACAAGTAAGCGCAGCGAACGAGTGAAATATTTTCAAACACCATTATGATTAAAATAAACACCAATGTAATGCCAAACCATTTCAATTAAATATTTTTTGGCTGCAAAAGGCAGGATTTGTTATGTAGCGATAGCACTAGTGATCTTTTCATAATTAGGTGAAAATAACATGTTATTTTCATGTGTGAAGATATCATGTTTTTCACACAAAAGCTCACCTGGTATTTCACCGGTGTTTATATAATAAATTTTTATATCACTTTTAATAACCCCTTCTCCTTTCTCTTTTACTCTGACCCATTACTACGGTTGGAGCAGAGGAAAACAAAACAGTGAATGGGTGTTGCCCATTAAGCTTACACATTTTTGTCTCTTGTGAAACAAAAACTGATCACTTACTTTTATGTCCAATTTATATAGAGGACCAAGCACTCATTGCCCTGTGTCTTCTGCCGATGATACTTGAAAGGGCACCGAAAAATGGCCAGAGCCAAAGTGACTTTCTTTACCAGGTAAGAAAACAACAATACAGTTAGAGTCAATACCCTATCTTTCTTGTTCATATAAATGCCATTACAAATCATAGTTGTAAGATATTACATAAAGCTCGATCTCTGCATCTCTCTGATGTTTGAATTTTTCATAGTTTTTACCTTCATGTTAACAACCATGAATGTTGCAGTTGAGTGACACTTGCCAAAAATTAAAATAAATAAGCTTACTTTCAGATTACGTACAATAATGCATCAGTCAGTATAGGTAAAGGTTGTTTGCTTACCACTACAACATGCCTAGTATCAGAGACATACGTTTCGTCACTCACCACATTATAAAGAATATTAGAAGGTTCAAAATCAGCTTGCAATAAAGTATGAAGATCAACGTAGAATTTGCCAGAGAATTTGCCAGCGTGCTTTACTCAGGCAAAAGTGTCAGCGGTTTCTACTGTGACCAGTGGAGGGGTCGTTTAAGGTGGCACGAAACTATTTTTTAAGCGCTTTGGTTATATTTTTTAATCGCGTTTTGTGACAGGAACGATTCAAACGATTTCTATGATTTTTTTTACAGTTTTTGTGAAAATTCGGTTTTAAACATAATCTAATATCTCAAAAAGTTTTTTACCTACACGAAAATAAATAACCGTTTCTTAAATTTGCACTATTCTTTGTTAAGATGACAAAATTCATAGAAATCGGTTAAATCGTAGCAATCGTAAAAAACATAAATAGGGTTCGGGCTACCTGAAGAATTGGATGAACATACAGAACTTTCCATTTCAATATTTATTGCCATTTATCATGCTGCAGTAGTTGATAAAACACATTTAGTGAACGTGTTCTTTTGGCTTATTTTTCCTCTTAGAACGGTGATGATGCAAAGAAAATTGCCCATAACGCCAAGGAGGGAATGACGCCCTTTATCATCTTTGAGGGGCAACTGCAAGCCCCAGATGACATATACCTTAGTGGGGAAAGGAATCTCCTCCTAAAGGTTAATGGAGGACATACCAGCGCTTTGGTCACACTTCTGCTGATATATTTTGTTTGCAACATAGAATATCCAAAAGAATGTAGAAACACATATTTATTTCTCCAGAGAGAGGTTTTGAATGTTTACGACAGTGTTAAACTACCGACGAAAGTTTTACAACTCATGAATGAACTGACTCAGTTCTAAGCTCTTAAAGCAAACTAAAATTAAACTGCGCGACTTGTTGTGTAATCTGCCTCGCACATCAATATAGCTAAGCCGAACGACGACAACGACGGTAGAAAAAATGTCTCTTAAAAAGTAAATCCACGTTGTTTCAAATTTCATCACTCCTGCTCAGAGTTCAATTCAGTTCTATAAAGGACTATTTGAATTTTTTAACAAGGTTGAGAAAATCGTTGTCTCATGCAGTGTGTTCTCGTCCACCCAAAACTGGTGAAATTAGGTAGTTAAAATGTCGTAGTCGTGCACCAACGGCAAGAAAATAAGCAAAAATGCGTTATGCACGTGCAAAGATGTTGTTTTGCTAATCTAAATCTATTGTGTTTTTTTCGAAACATTTTCGTCGCCGTCGTCGTCGTGAGTATTGAGCTCCCTATAAAAAAGTCTTAGAAAAGAAAGACCCACCGTGTACAGCCCTCTTAGTTGAACACTCCTTTTAATTCAGAGCCAGGGATGAAAGTAGAAAGTTGTGTTGGGGAGATATAGTGCTGGACGTGGACGCCGAGACCGGCCGTGAGGTGCTAGTGTGGACAGCCAAAAGGGAAAGCAAAACGCGAAAAGGTCTCGAAGACGGTCATCAACGTCAATTCTGTCCTAAAGCGTTTGCAACCATCACAAACAGATACCCTGTTCTTTATTACAAGTTGTTTAAGGCGCAAACCTGGCGCCAAAGCCAAGTTTGGTACAAGAGCTCACCACTCGGCAAGAACGAAATCGGAAAATCTAAGTCCACGGCGGCAAAAAATGCCGGTTTAGCAGCTCAAAACAAGAAGATATCCAATCATTCCGTCCGTAAAACGTCAATTTCCCGTCTGCTTGATGCTGGTGTGCCAGAAAAATTTGTGATGCAACTAAGTGGCCACAAAAATCTTCAAAGTTTGAGTTCATACAAATCAGTTTCCATCACACACTAGCGGCATATGTCCGATACGTTGAGCAGAGGATCGATGAGTAATAATGGCACCACGTCAATTCGCGAACAAATCTTTTACACATCCTTGTTTTCAGCTGAGCCAGACGAGATCAACTCCAAATCCCCCTTCCGAATTCTGCCAAGACCAAAGCTTTTTCGCAGGAGCAACAATCAGCACAATGAACAACTGTGTTTTTAATATCATTCCATCAAGCTCGGCAAAGCGCCCACGCATTGATGATCAGGAGTAGAGGCTGCTTTACTTTCAAGTGCGGACACCAGGATAGTTGATCTTTTCCTTTTTTGTACACCAACAGAGCTCTTAGTTTTGACGAAATTTTGAACTTTTCTTAACATGGCGCATTTGCATTTTGTTTTCACTTTCTCGGAAAACCTATGTTATGTGCTACTGTTTTCATGAGCCAATAAAAACTTTCTTTTTTGACAGCTGTCAAATGACCGTCAAATCGCGCGTCTTGTTTCCGGTCCCCCAAACAGGAAGAAGCCATATAATAAAGGAAATATTTGCTTGCAAATAGAATTTTTATGCTTCTTCTTCCCATTGTGTACTTTTTATTTCTTTTGGGGCCTGGGACTTGGGGTGGCATTTATTTGGATTATAGTCAATACCCTGTAGGATACTTGTGCTTGCCATGTGACCAGGCTTTCATGTGAGCGTCACTTCGTTTCATCTTGACGGTGGTTAAAGACGTGTTTTTTCATTGGAGGTGAGTTTTATTAATTTTATCCCTTTAAACAGTTTCATCTTTGACCATTTGTCTTTATAAGTCACGCGCTTTCTGTGTATGTTCGATTGGGTTTTTTCTTTCGATTTCGGTTTGGTCAATTTCTTACATTTTGCTTGCACGTGTGCATGGTCGAATTCACAGCTTTCTTCTTCTTTCTTTCTTTTGGTTTTGTTTTTTCTATGGCTAGCTCACCTCCTACAGTTCTTATTTTGGGCCATTCGTTTGTTCGAAGGTTAAGTTCAAACCTTAGATCCAATTTTGATGACCGTGCTGCCGAACATTTTAATCTTTTGGGTGACGCCGTGATTCACTTGCATGGCGTGGGCGGTCGTACTGTGAAGAAACTTCGCCTTGCCGACCTTGGTGTTGTTTCTGCCCTAACACCTGACGTTATTATTCTTGAAATAGGCACTAATGATCTTGTTGCTAACCGTCCCGAGGTCGTCGTTCTGAGATCGATGATTTGGTTCAATTGCTGCTCCAATCTTACTCTGTACGAGACATCGGTGTTTGTGAGGTGATACCTCGTGTTCGAGCGCCGTTCTTCAACGCAGCGGCACCGATCCTCAACCAATATCTCACTGATGTTATAGAGCTTTGTCCCAACGTTTTTTCCTGGCGCCATACGGGCTTTAGTAATCCCACCGTCAGTCCTTACTTGCCCGATGGCGTTCACTTAAACCCTTAAGGCCAGTATTCTCTTTATCGAAGCTATCGGGGAGCTGTCTTGAAGGCCCTTTGCTCGCTTTGATTTTCTCACCTTGGCGGCTTTCTTTTTCTGGTATTGTTTTATAAGGCCCTGGTGCTGGATTTTATTAACCTTGATTTTCAGCCCTTGTTGCTAAAAATTTTTGTAATTTTAAGCCCTTGTTGCTCTGGTTTATTTTAATTTTATTTTATTGGGGCCCTTGTTGCTCATGTTTCATTTTACTTGGAGCCCTTGTTTGTTTTCATTTTGAATTAGAACCCTTATTGCTCTGCTTTTATTTTATTTGGGGCCCTTGTTGCTCCTGTTTATTTTGAATTAGAGCCCTTATTGCTCTGGTTTTATTTTCTTTGGGGCCCTTGTTGCTCCGGTTTATTTTGAATTAGAGCCATTGTTGCTCTGGTTTTCTTTTATTTGGGGCCCTTGTCCGGTTTATTTTGAATTAGAAAGGGCTCTGGTTTTATTTTATTTGGGGCCCTTGTTGCTCCTGTTTATTTTAAATTAGAGCCCTTGTTACTCTGGTTTTATTTTATTTGGGGGCCTTGTTGCTCCGGTTTATTTTGAATTAGAGCCCTTGTTGCTCTGGTTTTATTTTATTTGGGGCCCTTGTTGCTCCTGTTTATTTTGAATTAGAGCCCTTGTTGCTCTGGTCACGGGCTATTGCGGCGACACTGTGTCAGCCATGCCTGTTACTAAAAAATATTATTTACTGTATTTTGAATCTTCAGTGTTAGTTCTAGCTGCTTGTTGTTGTTTCCTTGTTTTCCGTAGATGCCTCCTCGTCGTTCACAGCGATCCAAGCGGCCATCCCGCTCAGGCCTTGGAGGCTTTGGTCTCCTTCCCTCCGCAGCGTGTGTCGTCATCCTCAATCCAGCAACCCTCCCTCCCTCCGGGAACACAGCGTCCCAATGATGTTTTCATGTCTGTAAACCTACCAATTGACGCACGGGTTCCAGCTAAGATTCGGAGCAAAATCATTCAAAATGAATTTGTCGATTTTGGCTCCCTTCTTGTTAATCCAGCTTTTGAGGACAAATTTCGTATCACACTCCAACCCTTCCAGGAAGGCTCTTCTCCATCATTAGCTCTTGAGCCAGTAAACAAAGCTAAACGTATTACATCAATAGATGTTTGGCTCCAAGCTTTTCACGTGTATGTGGGTATTTTTACTGCACGGTATCCCCATGAGGCTCCCGGCCTCATGAAGTATGGGGCTACTATTCAGGATTTGGCTGCTAGGGGGCATAATTGGCGTTATTATGATGAAAACTTCCGTTTTCTGCGCCAGTCTCAGGCCACCTCTCTTCCCTGGGGGACTATACATTGGGCATTGTGGTTGAAGTCTCAGATTCATGCCAACAAATCTATTTCAGCAACCGGCGTTGCTAAGAACCTTGATGTCCCTCGGGGTTATTGCTTCAAGTTTCATAAAGGGGGTTATTGCTCAGGATGCTCTTTTAAGCACTTATGTGCTAAATGTGATGGCCCACATCGGGCTATAAATTGTAATTTTCGTGCCTTTAGCAAAGGAAATGCTTCCAACTTGTGTAATCAACGCAGCAATAAAACCCCTAGCAGCCGGATCATTCCCCAACCTACTTCCTCGGGAGCTTCCAACACCCGTAAACAGTGATCGTTTGTAATTTTTTCTTTCTGGGTATATCCCTTCCGTAGTAGAGCTTTTATCCAATGGCTTTAATTATGGTTTTCCCTTGCACTATGAGTGTACCGTCACATGCTTTGGCGTTTTCAGTGCCCTCACTTTTACTGGGCCAAACTTTGTATCAAGGATTTGATTGAACAGTATTTTGAAATAAATGCGGCTATGGGATTTTGCCCAGAGCCATTTACTCCATTTGTTGCTTGGTTCTATTTTTGCCCAGTAAACATAGCTCAGGCAAGGCAGCATTTTTGGGTTGTGCTTATAATTTAGAAGCGAGAAAAGGCATAAACATCTTATTAGCCTCGTTTCTTCGGTCCGTACAGTAAATTACGGAAAAGTTGAAATTAAATTCCTCGTTTTTTCCATCGATTTATGGCCCATCGATGGAAAAAACTCGGTCCGTAATTTACAGTACGGACCGAAAACTCGGCTGATAAGAGGTATTTATCTAGTATATCTATCAAAAAATGAGAGTTATTAGAACAAAGGAAGGCAATAGTGATAATAAACATCCCATGTTTACGGCTATAATTTTTGAGCCCGAATCTTCCTCTTTAATTATAAACACTAATACTTTCAATTTTCCCCATGACGTCATAAAATGTTCAAAACTCAAGTGGAACCACGAGCCGCAGGCAAGTGGTTTCACTGCAAAGTTTTTATGCCGTCATTTCTATGGTCTGTGAGTGTAGACCATGAAAAATTGTGTTCGATTTGTTTTTTGCAACATGTATTTTTAGTTTCCTGCAAAGTTTCTTGGAAAATCATACGCGAGATGTTACGTTAATTCCATGATCTATACTCTCATAGACCATAGCTCTCGACCAATCAGCGCGCGAGGATTCCCTCATTTATTGTAAAAAAGAAAATGGCTTCTTGTCCATTTCTTTCTTGATAAACAAACCATTGTTAGCGGAGCTCCATAGCTAAGGA